GCGGCGCGTGTGAGCCGGGGACTGTCCTTCCGGCCAAGCCTGGGGCCGCTGGGGCCCGAGTCTGCCCGGGCGGGCGGTGCGGGCACCCGAGGGTGAGGGTGCTAGCGATGTGGGGTGGCTGATTCTTGAAGGGCCGGTTGGGAGGCGGTGCAGTGAAGGCCGGGGTGGGGCCACCAAGAGGACCCCGGAGGGGTCCTGCAGTGCAGGGGCGCCTTTTGGGGAGTCGGCCGGAGCCCGGGTGATTTTTGGCGCGGAAGGGGAGGGCAGCGGGGCTGGGATCAAGGGAACTTGGAGGGTTATCTGGTGGTTATCTGTAGGTGTTAGGGGACTTTGGCGGGGTTGGGGGCATCTGAGCCTGTAAGTCTAGGTGCAGGAAGTCAGAGAGAGGCGAGGAATGGGGAGAACAGCTCTGTCCTCTACAGAGAACTGGCAACATAGATTACAACGTCTCAGCTGGTTCCAGCGGTTGTGGTCAATGTAGGTAACACCAGATGCCCAGACACACAGCAGGTGCTCAGACAGGTGCATCAGCTATCCCAAACATGCTTTCAGGCACCAGAGAAATGGTCAGACCCCCCTGCCTAGCTCAGTTGAATACCCCAAAACTAATAACATTCAGAATCTAAGAACATGCCAAATATCCCAAAGTACCAGGCAGGAGCCACCAGATACCTCAACAGGTTTCAGGCCCAGAAATATATCAGTGCCCAGAAACCCGGATTATAAACATCCCCTGAAGCACCTGCCAGGGGCATCGCAGATGCTTCCCCCACACCAGCACCCCCTCAGTGGCCATCAGATAGCCCAGGCCCGGGGCTGCGTGCCCAATCAAGGTCCCCTCATGACCAGGGGAGGAGCGGAGCCCTTCGCACCAAACATTCCACCAGGCCAAGATCTCCACGTGCCAAACTCACTTTAAAAGACACGCTATGGGTGGCTGACAACCCTTATTCAGAAACGGGGCGGCGTCCCCAGGTGACCTGCCTTCAGCCTAAGTCCAGCCTTCATGGTCAAAAGGGGGAGCATATGCAGAGGCTGGAGCTTCCAGAAGTGTGAGGCATGCCTCAGCAGACACCCCAGACACCGCGCTCCACCTCAGCTCACAAGCCCTGCCTCAGGTACCTGTGAGGTCTCAGCGGGTCAGTAAACCTTCCACCCTCTGAACTGCCACGGCTACTGGACTTCGCTCCAAAGACGGTGGGAGCTGCCGAAATGGCATGCCTGTATTCCCTGCCACCTGGGGTACAGAATCCCTGCAGGTGGGCACAGTTCTCCCCCAAGCACAGACCCACCTTCTCAAGGAGACGGGCGTGAGGGAGAGGCAACCCTGTCTTCCTTTATGTAGCCGCCATTCTGCTCACAGGGAGTCCTGACCCCGGGCGAGGGACGCTGCTGCAGCGCGGGACGCAGTGTGGGGTTTCTCGCTCTGAGCTCCCAGGGGTTGCTCTGCGATCCCGAGGTTGAGCAACACCCCGGCCTCAGAAAACACCAAGGGGCCCTCCCTGGGGGCGCAGCGGGTTAAAGCACAGCACTGAGAATCTAAAGCTGCTTCCGCATGAGTTCGATTCCCGCCTGCCCCGGAGGTGACCACAGGGCGCGGCAGACCTCTCCTGACCCGCCCGCTGCTCCCCTCAGCAGTGGACTTTGTCGATCCGCCTGTTCTGCTCCCCACTCTGTCTCTGGTGAAGCCTCTCACCGCCCCTGAGCCTCTGGCCTGTACCCCAGTTCTGTATGCACAAATAAATAAATCTTAAAAAAAAAAAAAAAACACCAAGGAGCACCCTGCTTGTGACAACCAAAAACACCTCCAGAGGGGTAAAGGAGCCCTCGGACGGGCAACCGCTTGGACGGTTCTTTAGGACACAGATGTGGCAGCCGAGGGCGGGCGAGCCCCTGGCCGGGAAGGTGAGTAGGAGTGAGGTGGCCCCGGGCGCCCAGGGCAGCACCGGGTGGGGGCACGGGTGACGCGGGCAGCCCGAGACCTCGGGGGCCTTGCGGGGCCCGGGTGACCGAGCGGCAGGAAGCGGTGGGGTAGGCAGGGCCAGGCCTCAAGGGCTCCCAGCTGAAAGGCAGAACAGGACGGCCAGGAGTGGCCGCTCAGCGGCCCGGCCCGGTGCCCGCCACGCCACGCCACGCCTGGCACACCGCCACTCCACTCTGGCAGCTCTGAGCTCGGAGACGCAGCCGTCGCAGGGCACACAGCTCACCGGTACGAAAATCCCACGGCACGACGTGACGCAGGCTGCTGCCCGCGGCTCAGGCTCTGCGCCCCGTCCTGACGCTGCCACCCCGCCCGGCACTGTCCCCCGGGCCCGGGCTGCCTGCCCGTGGCAGGCGACACGCGCCGGTCTCAGAGGCCGGGGCCGAGGGAAAGCGTGAGAGCGCCCGGGGAGCGGTGCTCGGGCCGCGCAGGAAGGCGGCCGGCCTGTCGTCCTGCGCCTGCGATTGCAGAGGGTGTTGGCGCATCGGAGCCCGTGGCCTTCCACGGTGGCCGGCGGGGCCAGGCCGCCCTGCCCAGGGACACTGCCTCACGCATCCTTTTATTTAAACTGCCTCCCGCCTCCTGCTCGAGCCTTCCCCGACCCGTGACCGGGAGCGGTGCCCCGCAGTGGGGGTGGCCGTGCAGGCCCGGCACGCCGCTTGGGCGTTATAACTGGGAGGACGCTTGCTGTCACCCCCGCCAGCAGGGCCCCATCACCTCCTGGCCCGCCCCGCTCCACTTTCCTCCACAGAATTCCGACCACCCTCCTGGCGTCCCTGTCTGCTTGCTGTCACTAGGAGGCGGGCGCCCGTGGGGCGCCCCTTACTCTGCAGCGTGGCGCCCCCGCTCGTGTGGCCCTGAGTGGAGACATGGGGTTAGAAGATGCTCAGCTGCGATGAGCCGGCGCCTCCCTCCGGAGCGGCAGTCACCAGGGTGCCTCACGCACAGGGGAGAAGGCCCACGCACCCCCGTGGAGCCGGGGGAAAGAAGAGCAAAAGCTGCCGCGTGGCCCTGAGCTGCCTGCTGCTGGCTGGGGCTGTGGCGCTCGCTGCCTCTGCCGGAGCCATGTTTGGCTTCGTGATTGCCCGGAGGGGTGCTCCCGGAGGCCAGCGGGGTGCTGTTCCACACCCCGGCGCCCTGGCGCTCCACAGCCCTGGGACCCGGCCCCAGGTAGCAGCAGCTCCCCGGGCGGGGTGCGCCGCCGTGACCAGGTGCACATCTGCAGGTGACGGCAACCGCGTGTTCGGTCTTTCCGTCCCTGCTAGGGCACAGCCGTCCACCGCACTGGAAATTCCCGAAGTGATAAGAGGGTAGAGGCGTTTTCTTAGTTCTGCCCAGGGGGTGACGTTCGGGCAGCCCCTGCGGCCTGAGGACGGGGCTGGCTTCCCGGGAGCCGGGCATGTACTGACAGGCTGCACTCTAGACCCACCCCAGCCTGCAGCTGCTTGGGGCAGGCTGGACGCCGCGTCCATGGCCGGTGGCCGATGCACGGAACACTGGGCCGGGCAGGCAGCCTCGGTAGGACCCCAGAGGGTGGGGTTCAGGCAGCTTCTGTGTGGCGAGCACAGGGAGGTCGGGGAGAGGAGTGTGCCGGGGCGCGGGGGTGCCCGGCCCCGTCCTCACCTGCCCCTGTGCCTCGTCCTCTGACTGACCGTCAGTTTTGTCCTTTTGTAAAGACCAGCGATCTAGTAAGCAAAGTGTTCTGAGCTGCGTGCGCTGCGCCAGCGAGTCAGTGGACGTAAGGAGCCGGCCAAGCAGCCGCCAGTCCGCAGCTGGGCTCAGCTGCTACCGGCCTTCAGGTGGGGCTGAGCCCCTGGCCTTTGGGGTCTGGCACCGTCTCTGCACAGAGAGCCAGAGTCGAGCTGGACTGGCACCAGCTGGCTGGGGAACTGGCTGGGGCGGGAACCCCCAAGCCGCGGCTGGGCTGGGGGCCCCCTGCAGGAGCCGCATGAGCCGAGCGGCGAGGCCTGCAGGCTGCAGCGAGCTGCCAGCCGCACCCCCTCTCCTGACCTGCCCTTGCTGCTTCCTCTCCACCCGCACACCGGGACCCACTTTCAAATCGGCAACATCCTAAATGCAAAATGGCCAGTCACTCGGCGGCCGCAGCCCGCAGGCCCGGCGCTGGTCCCCGAGGCAGGGCCTTGCCGTGCTCCTGCGGAGCTGCCGCGGGGCCACGTCTGCGCGCTGCAGACGTAGCCCGGTACCACGGGGCCGGGCTGTTGCGGGCGGGATGCCAGGGGAGTGGTCCTGTGGCAGGCCCCTGGGGCCATGGAACGGGTGTCCTCCTGGAAGGGGACAGCTCACCCAGACGGCACAGGACGGTGCTGCGGAACTGCAGCCCGAGGCACCGTCCTGTGGCCAGAGCCCGAGCTGCGGCCGGAGCCAGGAGAGCCCCACCGCGACGGAGCCTCCCAGCGCCTCCTGCCCGTCAACCCCGGGCCCCAGACTTATCCAGACGGCGAAGTCCATTTCTGCTGCTGGAGCCCCCCGCCCGCCCGTCAGCAGCCCTATCCCACGGAGACACCCCCAAATCCAGATCAGACCAGAGGATTCTCGCAGTGACTGAACTCGAGTCCTCAAGACGCGTCTCGGCGCAACAGGTTAGAGCGCAGCACCGTGAAGCAGCCCGCAGCCGCGCAGCGCGAGCCCCGGCCAGGAGGGACCCGGGCGCGGCAGGACCCCGTCTCCCCGCTGCCCCTCAGCGGCGCATCAGTGATCTGCCTGTTCTGCCCCCACTCTGCCTCTGCGGGGTCCCCTCACCCTGCACCCCAGCTCTTGTGTGCATAAACAAACACATCTGCAAAAGAAAACCGGAGTTCCGGCGCCCCGAGGGACCCCGCCCCTGCTCGGCCGCCCTGTGCTTGGCCAGGGGCGCAGGAGGGGTGAAGAGCAGAGGGCGACAGGAGCAGGTTCAAGGCCGCCGAGGACTTACCGGAGTCCAGGAAGCACTGGCCGCACAGGGGGCAGCTGGGTCGGCCGGGGAGGCTCCCGCACAGCAGCTGGTGCCCGGCGGCACACTCCTTCCGGTCCCGGGCCTCCGGGGCCCGGTCCTTCCCCGGCACCGCGCTCTTGCCCTGTGTGGAGGGACGGCTTCAGCACGCTCCGCCGCTGGCGCTGCCCAGCCGCAGGGGCTCCGGCCGCGCCCAGGAACTGCCCCTGACCTTCTCTCGCTGCTTGGTGACGCGGCTGCGGAGGTAGCTGAGTCTGCGCTTCACCCCGGCCCCCCTGTCGCTGCCGCGCTCGCTCCGGCCGGGCCCGTCTTCGCTCCTGAGGGTTGAGGACGGGAGAGGCGGGCGTGGGTCTGGAGTCCGCCGGTGGGCCCTTGCCCTGCTCCCCTTCTGGACACCCCCACCCGCGCCCCGCCCTCTCTGGCTCATTCACCCCGCAAACTACGATGTCTGCCAAGTGCCCGAGCGGCTGAGGCTGCAGGGGGAAGGCCGTGGCCTCGGCATGGGGGCCCTGGGCGGGAGGGCGCCTGGACGCTGCCCACCTCCGCTCGGCCCCCTCCCCAGTGTCCAGCTGGCGCACCCCGCCGCTCTGCTGCGAGATCCTCCCGCCCTCTGTCCGCCCGGCCCTCCCTGCCGCACCCAAGCAGCTCCCGGCCCCAGTCCTGGCTCCCTGCACGCCCGCGCTTAGCGGACATGGGTGCCAGGCACAGCCGGCCTGGCAGACGCGCGCCCTGGAGTCAGATTCTCATGTGGCCTCTGGTCCTCCACAGACCCGGCTGCCCGCCGCCGTCTCTAGGGAGCGGCTGCGCCCGAGGCCAGGCACCTTTTCGGGTGAAGGATTCGCTCCTTGTCCGCCGGGCGCCGCGTCTCCGGCCGACTCCCCGACTTCTGGCCTCCGGCCGCCCCGCTGCATCCCCAGGCCTTGACGGCCGAAGGGAGCTCCCCACCCTCAGGGCCGCACACGGGCAGGCCCCCACGCCGCCTTCAGTTCCAGCCTAAGCTGCCGCCTCCTCCAGGAAGCCTTCCTTTGCCTTCCCGGGACGTCGGAGGAGGCTTCGACAGCCCACTGGCCGTCCGGCTCAGGGCCAGCCATGGGCAGCCACTGGCAAACGCCCCCTGCCCCCCAGCTCTGGGTACTTACTCGGACAGGAACTCAAACCACGTGAGGTCCGAGTGGGCTCCTCCGGGGCTGGCGGACAAATGAGCCCTCTGCCGGGCGCTGCCGCAGGACCAGAGGGGCAGACCCGGGTGAGCAGCTCGCCCTTGCTTCCGGGGTGCCCTCCCCTCCTGCTCCCCACGGCCCGGGGCTCCCCGCCGGCGTGCCCCCGTGCGTGGTGCGGGTGCTCTGCTCCCCAGCAGGGGGCGCAGCCCTGGTGGGAGGCCGAGGGCAGCCGGCTTGCTGCAGGTGCCCCGCGGGCACAGAGGCAGCTGGTGGGCGAGGGCCCCCGCCCGCCGCCGCCGCGCCCTGTCCTGCGTCGCCCGATTCCCCATGCGTGGGGCCACGCCTGTCCTCTCCTCACCCAGGGCCCCCTCCGGTCTCCACCCGCCCGCCCCCACTTACCCATGGTACTGTCGAAGTTCTTGCAGCACCTGCTGGACAATCAGCCTAGGGTGGGGGTGAGAACAGCCTGCAGTTGCCGCGTCCCCGAAAGCCCCGAGCGCGCCTGCCCTGCTCCCGGCCGAGACCCTTCCCGAGGGGCCTGAGGCTCTCGGGAGAAGACGGTGTGCAGGGGGAGAGCAGCGCGGTGGGGCGGACGGGGGGACCCACTGCCAGCGTGCCGCCGCCACACCCGCTTCCCCAGCGGCGCCCGCGGCCCCAGGCAGACACTCACACGCGGTGTGGCTCCCCGTGGTCCCGCTCCACGCACTCCAGCACCAGGGGCTCCGGGCCTGGAAGCAGCGCGGGCAGGGTGAGGCGCTCTGGGCTGCACAGCCGCGCCCCCGTGGCAGGGCTTGCCACGCTGGGGGAGGGGAGGCCCGGAGGCAGTCGGATGGGGCGCCCCACCGCGGGCCCTCGAGCTGCGCCAGGTGCTTCACACGCCCAGCCGAGGAAGCGCTGGGCCCTGAGGAGACGCGCCACCCTCCAGAGAAGGGCGGCGCGGGACACTTGCCCGCAAGGGTAGAGAGGGTCCAGACCGCGGGTCTGTGTGGCGCCAGGGACACGCGAGGCCCGGTTCCAGGACCCAGAGCAAGCGCGAGAGAAGAGACGGCGTCCCCGAGAGAAGAGAGCCCCCGGGCGTGGGTCGCCGTGGCGTCGTGGGCACCTGGCGGCAGGTGCTGGGGCCGCCCTCCGCCTGCCCCTGCGGGCCACCTGCCGGGCCAGCGCCCCCACCCGCAGCGCCCGTCCCCCCCGGGGCCCCCCAGCAGAACCCCACCCTCTGCTTTGAGCGAGGCAACGCTGGACTCAGGGTACCTTGAACAACCGGGGCGTGCGCGCCCACAGCCAGGGCAACCTTGGGGGTGCTGACCTCCTCGAAGGACGCGGGAACCGACTGCGACCTCACTAGTTTCTCAGGGCTGTCGCCTTCCTGCGGGCAAGTTCCTCAGTGAGGTGGACGGCGGGCGGCTGTCCTGGCGGGCCCAGCCAGCCCTGCGGGCCCAGGCGGGGAGCTGCGCGCGGCCGAGGCTTGAGTCTCCCCGGCCCCCCACACTGCCCCAGCCGGAGGCCAGACCCCTGGCTCGGAGCTGCGGGCTCGGCTGTGGTCAGGAATGTCCGGGGGGCCGTGGCTGGGCAGAGATGCCCCGGGCACAGCCCGGAGCCTGGCAGGAGTCCAGCTCGAGCCAGAAGCTCGGCGTGGGCCGCGCCCGCACAGCAGCTCTGACCACACAGGGAGCTGCCGGGGCGCTGGGGTCTCCCCGGGGCCCCAGCCCCTCGTGGCACTGTGGGCCAGCGCCCCCTGCCGTGGCCACCGCAGCGAGGAGCCTCCCGGCCTCAGGGACACAGAGTCCCGGCCAGGGGACGCCGGGGCGGCCCTGCTGCCGCGGTCCCCCCGCCAGGACTGGGGTCCTGTCCACGCACAGCCCGGGCTCTGGCCCCAGGCTGTGCCGGGTCGGGGTGGCCGCGCTCGCACCCACCTTGCCTGGGTGATCTGCTGGGCTCCCTTCCCCAGGAAGACACTGGCGGGTCCAGGTCTGCGGGCCTGCCTCTGGCAGGTTCAGAGTGAGGCTGGCCAGTGTCCGAGGGAGACAGGACCCCTCGCCCGCGGCGGCGGCATCGAGGCTGAGCCTGGTGGGAAACGGGGGAGTCGGGGCCTCCTGCGCCGGGGGGTTGGGAGAGGCGTGCGGGGGCTTCTGGGGCGGGGAGGTGTGGGCAGGGCGCAGGGATTGCCCGGCTCGTGCAGCGGCAGGAGGTTGTTGGGGCACGTGGCTGAGGGGGTGGGGCACCTGTTTGCAGCACAGGCTGCCCCATTTAGACAGGACTGCTAGTGGGGAAACGACGGGGCTGGGGGGTTAGGGCACCCCTCCGGGGCCTGGGCTGCCGCTGCCGGCTGTGCGGAGCCTGGCAGACGTCCGAGCTTCAGCACCGTGCGGCTGGGCCTTCACGTGAGCCGGCTGCGCGTCTAGGCCGGCGCTGGGTGGGCGGCGAGTGTGCGGCGCAGAGGCCCCTGCGCGAAGCCGCTCACCCCGCCCCTCCGGCCCACCTGCCCCGGGCCGGCTCTGACCTGCAGCAGCTCCCCGAGCAGCTCCGCGACCTCTCCCAGCTGCACCTCCGAAGCAGGTGCTGGGGGCTTGTCTCCCCGGAGAAAACGGAATCGCCTCCGGCTTCTTTTCTGGGTACGCTGCGGGCCTCGGTTTCCCCGGGCTGGCTGAGGGGAGGCGGCGCCAGGCCAAGGTCCCGGAGGTACGCGCCCCCCTGCAGGGCCTCCAAGTCCAGGCCGAGGCGCTCTGAGCTCCCGTCCAGGCCTCCTGGGCAGCCCTCCTGTGGGCGGGCGCGGGGATGGGGTGAGGGTGGGGTGGGGCTGGGGAAGGGGTGTCACGCGGGCGCGGCGGAGCCCAGACCCCACCTCCCCCCCAGCCTGAGCTCTGCCTCCCTCTGGGCCAGGTGGGTGGGTCGGCGGGCGTCCGCCTGGGCTCCCACGACCTTCTCTCCGAAGGAGGCTGACCGAGGTCTAGACCTCCGGCCCGCGCCGCGGCCCCCGACGGCTGCCCGGCGTCATGACGTGGGCACAGCAGCCCTCTGCCCGCACACTGCTCGCTGAGGTGCCCGTGACCTTTTGCCCGCAACCCAGAGGTCAGTTCTGCAGGCTAGGGTGGGGGGCCGGGGGGTTTCAGATGATGTCAGGGCTCCTTGGCTTGTCCCTTTGGTGCTTGGGGTGTCTCCCGGGGCCCCTGGACCTGAACCTCTCTTCCAGGCTGGGAATAGAGTGAGGCATTTCCTGGGGCACAATGTCGGGGGGTGCCCACATTCAGGAGTCAGGCAATATTCTAAGGCGACACTGTAAAAGCTCAAGAACGGAGGCTGCTCCGTGGCCTTCCCCGCTGAGGCGGCCGGGGCCCCTCCTCCCCCAGGCGGGGAGCCTGGGCTCCGCCTCTGTGCCTCACCCCACCTCTTCTCTCCCTCCCTCCCGCTCTATTGCCATTTCTTTTTTTCACCCACAGAACTTGCTCTTTCTTCTCCTTGGGAAACATCTTTTTCCAGCACACTCAGTGTCAGCCCGGAAAACTCCTATGCATCTCTCAAAACCCAGCCTGGCACGCCCCCGACAGCGTTCCTGACTCCGCGAGGTTACGGAGTGTCGGGCTCTGTAGGACGAGGGTCGTCCCT